ATATATATATATATATATATATATATATATATATATATATATATATATATATATATATATATATATATATATATATATATATATATATATATTTCACTTAGCTTTTAAGTAATTAAGGAATCTTAGAATTTAAACTTTAGTCTTAAAAGAATATGTTTTACATATTAGTAGAAAATATTTTGAATGAAAAAAGAGATTTGGTTCTTCAAACCTTGAGTAAAGTAAGAATGCTGTGTTTGGTTTGTGGTTTCTTTCACAATAAAAGTTTTATTAATGCACCACAAATAAGTTTTATGCAAGTTGTATGTTTGTCCTCTGGTCTGTAGTATCTCTGGTAAGTTGTTTTCTAGTAGGTGTACAAAAATCACCTGTGCTTATTTTCTTGTGAAATGTATTGTATCTTTAGAGAGTGCATTTTAAATGCCTTGAATGTTTCCATAAATATTCAGGTTGTCAATAAATCACAGTGTCTAATCATGAATTGGAAAATAATACATCAAATAACAATGTTTAACAATGTTTTATCCAACATATTTTACTTTTGCAGCAAAAGGCTTCCTTGTAATTCTGTGTTTTGTTTTTTTTTATACCAGGAAGTTTCACTGAAACAAGAAATGTCAAGATAAGCTACACAAATCAGAACAATATTACCCAACTAAATAATACACTGTTAAGAAAACTAAAGGACATGTATATTAAAACACATTAAAACCTTTTCTTCTTCCACATTCCTCCTTCTCTGCAAATAAACCTGACTCAAACACAAGATTACAAGGAAGCCTTATCTTATATTTAAAGAGTCAATGTAAGATCTGTCAACAAACCTTTTGAACATGTTCATGATTTAATTATCTCGGTTTTTTTTTTGTTTGCTTTGTTTTGTTTTTTCTTGCAGGAACTGGTGAAAGTGGGAAGAGTACCTTTATTAAACAAATGAGGATCATTCATGGGAATGGGTACAGTGAGAATGACAGAAAACAATACACTCGCATTATCTTCCAGAACATCTTCACAGCCATCCAGACGCTGATTGGTGCCATGAAGGCTCTAAAGATTGGCTATGCTGATGCTCAAAATGCTGTAAGAAGCTCAAAAGCAATTGTTTATAAGTCTACTCTGACGTATCTTTGATTACAAAGGACTTGTAGTGCGGTCCATGGTCTCTTTATTGATTCACCGCCAAATGTAGCCCCTCTCAAACTCCTAGTCGTAGCGAATCTGTATTTTGAATGAATGGGATATCGTGCGTGCCCGGTGACTTTTGTTAAGTTTGCTCTGGAAACTGATTGTTACACATTGCTTCACTTGCAATCTCACCATTCAATATGTCCGTCAACTCTCTGCAAATGAAATCGAATACTCATTGGTGATCGAAATGTGTCGCAAACGCTGTCCGGATGTTTTTCACGTCAGGAAAAAGCGGAGAGACTGAGCCAAGTGGAGGATCTGAACAGTTTGACGGACTGGCAGGTGGATGCCATTAAGCGAGTGTGGAATGACGGCGGCATACAAGAGTGCTATGACCGTAGGAGGGAGTACCAGCTATCAGACTCTGCCAAATAGTAAGATCTATTTTAAAAATTTGAGCATGGGTATGCATGACAATCGTTTCTGTACACAACAGCTAAATGCATGTCACAATATTAAAACTGCATGTTTTTTGTTGCTAATCTTTTAGTTATCTTAGTGACCTGGACAGAATCGCAGGCCCAGGTTTTGTCCCCACTGTTCAGGACATTTTGAGGGTCCGAGTAGCCACGACAGGCATCATAGAGTACATGTTTGATATGTCAAAGGTCATCTTCAGGTATGCTGGTGCTTCACAAATCTATCTATCTAATAGATCAGATATCAAATATCTATCACAAATTCACTGAAAAGGTTGATTTTACCACTTCAACCCTAACTTCTAGGACTTCAATTTTGCATGCACATTGAATTTGGGCATTTTTTTTTTTTTAAAGACAGAAGCAAAAGTCCGTTTTTTGGTCAGACCTATTTGCAAGCAAAAGTTCAGATCAGCATGTCGTCTGTCTCTAGGATGGTAGATGTAGGGGGCCAGCGATCAGAGAGGAAGAAATGGATCCATAGCTTTGAAGATGTCACTTCTGTCATATTCCTGGCGGCTCTGAGCGAATACGATCAAGTCCTTTATGAAAGCCAGAACGAGGTATGTTTTGATGGCATCTCTGATGCTCCGTTCTGCAGCTTCAGAAGGGTCCGGGCGTGGTGTTTGTTAAGCTTATTTTCAATTTGCTGTTTTAGAATCGACTACGCGAGAGCCTCGCATTGTTTCAGACAATCACCATGTCTGATTGGTTTCACAACTCTTCCACCATCCTTTTCCTGAACAAAAAAGACCTTCTGGAAGAGAAAATCACCAAGTCAGATTTGGCAGTCTACTTTCCAGAATACACAGGTACATTTTGTCATTCTGCTACACCTGATTTTTATTATTTATTTATTTATTTATTTTAATGAGAAAATGTGTCCCAATTATTACTTACATTTCTACAATTTATCACTTTTCACAATCACATATTAAGAAAAAAGTATTTTGCTTTAAAGATTGTTTGCTTTCCAGTTTAGATTTTTGTAAGGAGAAGGTCTTTGAAGCGATTTTTGGCTTGATGTTCAGTAGCAAGAATTTACTACCACCAGTTCACAAACAACTGCTAGCGATTTATTCTGGTGCCGTTTGTTGACGTCACAGATGTAACGCTTTAGCTCTTAAGTGCTTTTTATAGTTTGCAGGAGAGATTTTGCTCATACCAAGTGTCAGGAACAAAACATGCAAAGTCCCTATAGAGAGGCTCAAACAAACCAAAGCAGGAGCTTGGTCTTAGAGCCTCCTGCTTTCAGGAAACAGTACTAACAATCATTTTACAAACACTACAAAATAAATAATTTCAGAGTCTAAAAAAACCTCAAACGGCCTGTTTTTACATAGTGGTTGCAACAATTAGTGGCACCTCTAATGAAGGTAAAGTGTCCAACAGGAACTATGTAACTTCTCTACAGAGAGAAACATGAACTAGACTGTAAAACTCAGCTTCCCTGAAAATTAACACCAAATTAAACCACCGATGATTCATGTCTGGTGGTTTGGGTTGGACCATTACCTTACTTTGAGCCTCAAGGAGACTCCCTTTTGATGGCTTTTGGTGAAGGCCACCAGATTTTTAATTCCAAATAGCTCATGGCACCATGAGCAAAAAAGTTTGATGCATGATCAACTATATATTTATAGAAACAGGTAAATTATGAATGGAGCTCCTTGATTTATTCTAATCTTGTCCACTCCTCCCTCCAACAGGACCGAAGGGCGATGCCGGTTCAGCACAAAGGTTCATCGAGAGGATGTACGTCCAATTACACAGCAAGGATTCCAAACCGCTCTATACGCACTTCACCTGCGCCACAGACACGGAGAACATCCGGGTTGTCTTCAAAGCGGTCAAAGACACACTCTTTCAAGATAACCTTGAAAAATTTGGCATTGTATGAGAGAAAACCAAGTGATGACTTTTACCTTTCGTAGCACAAAAGAACAGTTACAAATCCATGTTGCAATGTTTCGATATCAAAGTACTGCCAGACTCATGTTTTTTTAACCATAAAAAAAAATGAGTATCAAAGGTGAGGGTGTTTATTTTCTATGTATTGAATAACATAATTTTCTTAAAATATCTATGTGTCCAAAGTAATAAATTATGAAATAAATTCCATTAAAATTATGTAATGTAATTAGAAATATTCAACCTCGCCACCTCAATAGATTATCCTGATGTGGTTAAAAGATGATGGCACTAAAAAAACTAACAAAAAAAAACTAACTAAGCAATCAAAATACTTACTGATAATATCTCAGAAGATGACCTAAGTTCAAATGAAAAGTTTAACATTTGTGTTTCCTTCCACCTGCCATGCAAATTTTGAGCAAAACTTTAAAGAAAGTGAAAATTAGGCGATTTTCCACTTATTGGTTTGAAGTGAATCAACCAGGCCACCTAAAGCTTATTTTTGTCAGATGTTGATGCTACGCACGGCTGTAAAAGAGAGAAGAAAAAACACACACACACACACACACACACACACGCACACACACACACACACTTTCATGCCTCAATCAGATTTAAATCTGGTGAGTAAAAAGGCTTCATTAGAAGACATTTTTCTGAACAAACAGGGGAAAAAAAACCCCCCAAAAAACACAGCTCCACATCAACAACAACCCACCTCCATGCTTGACTGTTAGGTTGATATTCTTCCAGTCTTAATCCTGGCCTTTCTCAAACCCCGGATCCAAATGTTCAAACGTTTGCAATGTGGCAAATTCCAGTTTGGTGTTTTATCCATCTACAAAACTCTTATCTCATCCAAATTCCTCTGACATGTTCTGGGTGACCTTTGAAGTGAGTGGAATGTCTCTTAGAATCAGGCCACGACGTCCTCTTGTATTCTGTGTACGACTCACAGTTTATACTAAACCTTGTCATAAGATTAGTATGCTTATTGAGGTCCCTTATTTTGGAATGACCGAGTAAATTTCTGTTAGTGTATTTATTGGATAAGACATTACAGAAAATAATCCATGAAAAATACATTAAAATAGATCACTTTGGCAAAAGGGTGCATTTGGGCATATTAAGCATATTAAGTCACCTACGTTCAATAAGAACTGATCGTTCTTCTCGTATATGTTTTATACAACTTCTTCAACGACGATGTTGTCAGACAGGTTTGACGGAGTTCAACTCAATACAATGCAACACTTCCTGCTTAACAGCTTTGAAAGGAGGAAGTAAAAGTATCCCCAGCAGAGAGATAAAGCACCTTGTCTTTTTCTTTTCTTCCTTTAATCAACAGTGATGATGGGACTTTTATTTTAAAAAACCTTTTATATGTGTTAGTCACCACTATCTTTTTAAAGTACAAATAATAAAGCTTCATGTTGCGAATGCATGTGTTGTAAGACCTCAATTAAATTGCATCTGTGTCTGGTTGTTTTCCATTGTATGTATATAAAAATAAAATGTATTTTAATTTACATTTTTTAAAGGATTTGTGATGAAGTACAGTATATGTAAGAGAAAATCATCTCCGGTCTGGTTTCAATTATTTTTTAGGTCTAAAATTGTGCTGCTTTCCTTGCACACATGCTATGAAACACATATTTTATTTTGCAGACAGTCATTTTGTTTTAGTTTCACGGTCAAAGGTGGGAAATAAAGCTAAAAATTAGAATGAAATGAAAATGAAGGCAGATTGCCACAACCAAGCATTTGAGTCGGAGCATGCCACCTGCCCAACAGGAATGTAAAAATGTGCCTGAGCCGGTCACCAGCTCACCAGCTAGCTACTTCTGGAATGAGGGTCTGCCAAAAAAAAATAAAAAATAAAAAATCAATATACGGTAATATCACAAATTCCGGTAACACTTTATTTGAAGGGGGGTGAATAAGACTGTCATGATACCGTCATAAACATGACATAACACCTGTCATGAACATGAATAAGCCTTCATGAATATTTATGACTGTTGTCATAAAGCGTCATTCGGTAAATTATGACACTTTTAATACAAAGTTGACATTATTCAAAATGTCTTTGTTATGACAACTTGACATTAACCAAGAAATCATTACTGTTATAAATTTGTTATAAAAGTATTACTGATTTCACTTTAAAAATTAGATAACTTTATGTTATTAAAGGTAAAGTTTAAACAGTAATGATTTATTGGTTAATGTCAAGTTGTCATAACAAAGACATTTTGAATAATGCCAACTTTGTATTAAAAGTGACAGCAGTCATAAATATTCATGAAGGCTTATTCATGTTCATGACAGGTGTTATGTCATGATTATGACAGTGTCATGACAGTCTTATTCACCCCCCTTCAAATAAAGTGTTACCCAAATTCCTGACAGGTACAAAAACTTTGACAGCCATAAGGCATTTCTAATTTTCTCCTGAAGAACAGGAACCCCTGAGGATTTCCAGAGAAGAAAAACCAAAATCAAAAGAAATAAAGAAAGTAAACAGGAGGCACTGCTTTTAGGTGAGCTACTTTACTGATAGTCCTGATATTTTTAAAACTTCAATAAAGGAAATGCTTCCAAATATCTACTTTAAAAACTGATTTAAAACTAGAACCCACTCTAAGCTGGAGTTCAAGTTAAGGGATCTTAAAAGATTGAAATGCTTGGCAGCTGTTCCTCATGTGCAAGACTTTGGGAAAGTGAGGCCAATAAAAAAAAAAAAAAATCAATAAAAAATCATCTTCAGTTGTGTCTCAGGATTTATTTACATCATAAAATGTGACCTCATATCGCACACAACATTAATTTACTTAGTTATTTTTACCTTGTGGTTTCACAATTATTTCAAAACGTCCAGTGAAGGAATGCTGTTACCCGTTTCTCTCAGACAACTTAGCTCTCAGCATTCAGCAGATATTTGTCATTACTGTGTGGTTCTGGCTGTATAATAACAGTTTAAACAACAAACTTAAGCAGAAAGGGTTAAAAGTGAGCAGAATTACAATTTAATGGCTTTATATAAGCTATGCAGTCATTGTTTTTTCTGGGATCTTGTTTTTCTAACAGGTTCCCTGATCACAGCCACACACTTCCCTCTACAGTAGGACTCACAGTTCTCTGTCAAATTCTCTCTCGACTGCTGAATCTTCCACGGCATTCTGACCATGAAGCCAGGAATCATCATCATCATCATCATCATCATCATCATCATCATCATCACATTTTCTCCTGGATGAAGAAAGTGTCCTATCTTTTACTTTAAACTAAGTGAAGTTATGGAAATCTCCATAAACAGGCACCTAAAAATCTCTCAAATACCACGCATGGTTTTCGTACAGCGGCCACCAGTTTGAACCTTTTTAGGACTATAAGGCTACGCTGGTTTTTACGCTGAATCTGCAAAAACGTTTATTAGGAAAATTGTCTTCGAAGCTCAACAAAGATTGTCACGAACCCCCTCCACACACTCAGGCCATAACACAGACTTAAGCAACTTCCAGTTGAAGGCATTTCTTCCCAAAATCTTTTTAATGCCACACGAATAATCACAAACCCCAGTGACTCTGAATCCTGTTTCTTTAATGTTTAGATTTTAGACAGTGTGAACTGTACCGAACTGTTTCCATCGTCTTAATGCAACATCAGTCAATCTGCAGAACTTGAGCCACGGAACATGTGCAATTCATCCTGCCTCACAGTAGGAAGGAACAAGAATATCCTGCAGCTTGCAACATTGCTTAAGTTTGTGCTTTTTGATTAAAAGATAGTGCTTATTTTTCCTCAAAGCGTTTCTTTACTTTTTGCCACTTCACAAAGAAATTTGTTTGTGACATTTTGTAAGGAATCTGTGTGCACATTTTTTTTTTTTTTTTTTAAATAAAGGTGTCTGTCTTAATGCCTGAAAGTCCATCAGAGCTGTAAAGGTACTGATTAATAAAATGCTTCACACTTCCTGGCATGGTGTCCTCATGAACTTTGAACTACCAGCTGCAAGGCTTGCCTCTGCGTGTCGACCTGTTGTTGAGGAGTGTAAGTGAAATAAAAAAAACATTTTCTGTGTGCTGAGCATTTATAAAAGCTGACTATCAAAACTATATTTAACCTAGCAGTTTTATGATTGTACATTGTTTTGTTTATGGCTGAATAGTTCAACGCGGTCAAGAGAGACCACATTAAGAACAATCAGCATAGGTAGAGGAGTGAGAGAGTCCAGAAGCTGTATAGTTATCATCTTTTTCTTGCAAAACGCATATTTGCACAAGACATTGTGCCAGTATCCTTGTTTGTCTGTCCTCTACTTTCTCTCTTTCTTGCCGAGGGCTAACGCTGCTGCGCGTCTTAGCACAAAAAAAGTCCAGACTGTGTTACACACGGCAATAATAATACCACCGAGCAAACAAACACAGAGATAATATTTAAAGATAATTACAAGCAGACGCACACTTCTTGATATACCCGTTTTTTTGTAGCACCGCCCGAGGAAACAGCTCTGTCGAGAGCTGCCGTAGCAGGTGATGCCCTTATTTGGAAGTGACCCAGATCACGTGATCACAAAATGGTGGAAGCTGTGAGCTGTTTATAAGCTGAGCATCTCCATCGAGAGGCTTGGAGCAGGAAAGAGGCAGTGCATCCATGCTCTGAGACACAGTGGGACAGAGATTCCCAAGCCCCAGCAGCGGTGAGTAGACGGCTTTTATTCAGTGGAGATGAAAAGAGGAGAAAAGAGGTGTATGCTTTTTTTTTGTTTGTTTTTTTGTTTTTTTTTCCACCCTCTCCTCTCAGCCAGCAGAGACAGGAAGCAAGAGTGAGGGAGGGGCTGCTGTCATCAGCACCATGATCCTGTGCTGTGATGTGGAAGTAGATCTGAAGCAGCATCTTCCAAGGAGGATGTCATTTTGTATGATTCAGCAAAATAGACCTGTGTACCAGTGTAGATTTAGATGTAGGTCTGTGTAAAAAAAGTGTGCATATTTATGTGTGTGTGTAGACATCCTGGGGAAGAAGACACATACACACACACACACACACGCAGTCTTCATTAAGGCAGTTATGTCGACAGTACAGCTTTCACAAGAGCGTTCAGCGTTTTTCTGTTTCAGCTGCTGATGTAATCACATTTCCACCGTTGCCCTGAAAGCCTGTTGAAGAGGAACAAGGATGGCTCTTTTTCATGCGAATGAACACATGTCACGTGACTCGCTGCAAATTTGCATCCCTGCCCAGTCTGTGCTCAGGCAAGCGTGTGGTCTTTCGATTTGAATCAGCACTATAGGCAACACGCAGGGCAGTGAACCTGCCCCCAGACCCCCCGACTCCTGCCCCTTACTCAAAGCACCATCCCCGCCTCCTCCGCTCTTAATACAAGGATTATTCATAGTTCAAAGATTACCTTTTCACCTCAGTTTCATGTGTTTCCGCCATGTTTGCCTGTTACTACTCCTAAACTTGTTCCACCTGTTTTCTGTTCAGTGTGGAAGAATATTTCTTTTGATTCCTTCAATGATGCACAAACTAAAGGTTTTGCACCTCTTTAGATTTTTGTGATCTGGCGATCTCAGTGGAGAAGCTGAATAAAATGAAGCAGCCAGCTGCTAATCCTGAACAGAAACATTCAGGAATCTTAAGTATTTCTGCACAAATGATGTGGACAACAACAGAGGCAACATCATGTCAATTTGACTGCAAGAAGATATTTATTATAGCGATTGTACTCACAGGTCACCACAGAGACCCAGTGTATCAGGTTCAAATGTCTGTAGCTATTGTAACAGTTCTAATTTCACCTAAAAAATGAAGTTAACAGTGTCGGAAATCATGCTGAAACTTGATGTCTTTGACATTTCTGCAATGGCCAACACTGCTGTGTTAGTTTAAATAAACAGGAAACGTCTTCAAATATGTTTTTGTCCCTAAGGGCACCTGCGAACTGTGACCTGGCTTTTTCTGTTGCTTTCAGAATAATGCCTTCTTCATCTCTGAGTGACCTTGTAGTCCATGTCAGTACATCGCTGAGTTTAACTGTTCAGTCAGCATCTTTTGTTTTGTAGTTGACATGCAATTTATATTAAAACACATTCCTCTTTGGTAAGCAGCATGATGGCTGGATGTTGCCAGGTTTATTTAGTCATATGTTTATCTGCAGTTGCATTGATAACTTGAACAGCATCTTTACGGGTCTGCCTAAAAAAAAAGCAATCCTCCAGCTGCAGCTGATTCAGAACATTGCTGCTAGCGTTCTTACTAAGACCAGGAAGATAGAGCACATCATCTCATAAATACTGTTAGTTCATAAATCACTGAATGGCTTAGCACCACAATACATTAAAGATCTGCTGTTCATTCATCGACCTTCTAGGTTCTGCTCTGCATCCCCAGAATCAGAACCAAACATGGAGAAGCAGCATTCAGCTTCTATGCACCACAAATCTGTAAAACAAACTTCCTGAAAACTGCAAAACAGCTGAAACATTGAGTTCCTTTAAATCCAGACTTAATACACACTTGTTTAGAGTTGCTTTTGAAACATTATAAGCATTGATAAACATTGTGATGTGTAATAATGACACCAAAGAAAATTTTATGTTTGACTTGTTGATTGTGTTTCTATTTTTGTGTTTTCATGATGAAGTGCACTTGTTGCTGAAAGGTGCTATGCAAATAAAATCTGATTGATTGATTGATTGAAATGAAGGTGTTGCATTTAAGCGTCTAGAAATTTGACCCAAGGATGAACCACACTTCTGTTTCGGTTACCTGTTTTTTCTGTAACACTTCACGAAGCAGCGACATGTTTGAGGTGTTGAACTAAAATACATTTATGTATCAGAAACCTAAAAAGTCATAAAAAAAATCTAGTTTCATCTGTAATTTCAATATTACAGTAAGATCTATGTATCTTGTTTGTATCTACCCAAAAAAATTGCAGGCCTAAAATCTGATAAAGTTCCATAATAGATAATATAAAACTATTAAAAGTGAGGTGTCAAACTTAGTTTTTGTTTAGGGTTGATATAATGACTAATATGTAAAATTACACGAAGCTACTTGTGACATGTTTTTGTTGGTGACCTGTTAAATGGTACAGATGTGAATCACTTTCCTTATCCTTTTAAAAGGTCCTGTCCTTGTAGAAAGTGCACTCTCAAAGCCAGAGTGGTAATTACAGATGCATTTAAGTTGCTCCTGGAAACCAAAGTGAACCTAATTTGAGTATTGCCATTAAGTAGACTATAATAATTAGTGGTACGGCAATCAATTTACCAGTGATGAAATTAGCCAATTTACCCCTCGGGTTGCTCTAACCAGTGATCATCAGGTCCAATATCTAAATAATTAGATTTTTTTTTTTACCCCGTTTGCTAAAATGCATTAAAATTGAAAACTTATAATTATTTTCTCAGCAGATTAACACACTTTTTATTAGGCCTAACCTAATAGAGATTGGCTTGATTAAAATTTTGGATTCAGTGTTATTACTGTCAAGAATCCTGCAGTACATTTATTTTCCTAGTTTGTTCTATTTAATTGGGGGAATTGAAACCTAAATTTTATTACATGGGTTTATATCCTAAGAAAATGCCAGGAAGAAAACTGGAACTGGTAGGTCAAACACAAACCAGTGGTGACCAAATCTCTGACAATAACTAACTTGTTAATGAATTCAAATAATTAGGTAACTGATTGCGAATGCAACTCCCCTGGTAATACAGAGCCATACGTTGGATGGAAAAGTTTTGAAGATGCACCGATCAAGTGTTTTAACAGATGATGCCAAATTCTGGCTTTTTTTTTTTTTAGGCCTTACCTGCCGATGCTGCTTTTCTGGCTCTTGTCAAACTTTTTTGAAAAATATGAGTCAATAGGTTTGATGATTGTAGGCTGTTGTGTCATGTTTAGCTCTGGTTGAAGAGACGGGAGCCAACACTTTTAAACACAGTAACTGTGAATAAAAGCACTTACAATGAACTAGGTCTGAATTAAAAAAAAGTCAAAGTACATAGCAAAACATGCAGTTTATGGATGCAATTATCAGTAAACAAAACCAAAATCTCTGGACACTTTAGAGGACTGAACTGATCCATATCAAATCTACATCCATTACATAAATTACAAACTATTATAATCCAATATAATTCAAGTATATATAATGTCTTTCACCCTTTGGCAAGTCTTTACAGGTAGAGGAATTGTGGTCAGCAGATTACACAGTTTGATTTTTTTTTTCCCCATCACATATTTCTGTTCACAGTGTAACTTTTTTTTTTTTCTTTCAGGTCCCTCTGGGGATGGACCTGACCTCACACAGTAAAATGACTTCAGAGGGCGACGATGGCAGACCAGGTGAGAGTGAACCAAACATTTTACACATAAAAAAAAAGGACTTGGTTGTTCAAAAATAAAAACAACACTCTGCTTTTTTCATCCTAGTCCCCCCTACATCTTTACCCCTGGAAGGAGTGCCCAGCCAGAGGAAAAAACTTTCTGCCCCTCGGATCAGCTTATCTCTGGACCACAGCGAAGACGACTTGGGGGAGACTCCGGATGATCTGGACATTAACGTGGACGAACTCGACACTCCAGATGAGGGAGATTACCTCGACTACACAGACCATGAAATGGACTGGGAAGGTGGGTTAGATAAAAAACAAGAAACAAAAACGGTTGATTCATTTCATTACCCAAAATCATTTGCTACAATATAAGGTCATGTGAAACTTCTTTGTTTTTGTTTCAGCCAGTTTATTTTGCACCTCATCTGCATTTCTTTCATTTGAAATGTTCTTTTGAAGTTGGTTTCTTAATACGGAAAACAAATTATGATTACCAAGTGGGTTTTTTGTGTGTTGTGTTCTAATTTCCTGCTACGTTTCTCAGGGTGCTGCTGATCGATCCTCTATTGTTCCATGCGCCACATAAATCCCACAAACTTGAGTCAGTGACCAACGGTGCCATTTGCTCTTTTCTCAAACCAGATCCCGGTGCAGCCACTAAAAGTGGGACGAGTGATTCCTACAACACCATTCCAACGTACAGCGCTGAGGAGGAGCGACGTGACGTCAAGCTGTGGAGGACCGTTGTCATCGGGGAGCAGGAGCACCGCATCAACATGAAGGTTATTGAGCCTTACATGAAAGTCATCTCTCATGGAGGTGAGAATGTTTGCTAAGTCAATTTATAACATCACAAAACTGTCAAGAACAGGGCAAAAAAAGTCCTATATTACACAGTCAGCACACACGTTGTAAAACAAAGTGCACCCTCTGTTAGTTCTGGGGTTATATTTTGTAAATATAACCCTCTTTACTGGTTTGTGAAATTATTTTTAATTTTGCCTTAGAGGTAGAAATACACACATCGGAGATTGTGCCAGTTCATTGATTCAATAAACAAATTGGAAGAAGTGTTGGAAAAATTAAGCACCCTCCAAAAGATCCTAGAAGTGTACTAAATTTACCAAATTCTCCCATGTCAATTTAAAGTACTTTCTTTTTACTAGGACTTTAGGGTACGCATATTAAAATAAAGTATATCAGAAGCCTTGACTACATGATTTCTACCTGATTTGCACTTGTATCTGTTATGTACATCTGTAGCTAAATGCAGACATTGTCCCGTTGGCTGGTATTTTGGATTACAAAATGTAAAGTTTCCTAAAGGTATCATCTTTGGTCATGTTGTTATGTGCAAACGTTGCTAGGAAACGCGCTTTACTTATGGTTTTCTGCAGCATTTGGAAATCCTCCTAAACGTGATCCGACAGTCGCACTATGACCAAATCGGTCTGAAATAATCTTTTGTCCTGCATTTAAACCATGAAAGAAATGCAACGTCCACATCCATAAAGCTGTTATGATGAACTGTTTATCGAGGCAGATATGAATACATTCAAAGGCATGCTGCTCTTAGTGTGTGTTAGTGACCTTGAGCTGAACTTCTGCCTCCAGCCTGTGTCTCTGTCTTAAACCAACATTCTTCTGAAAAAGCAAGTAATGCCTCGGAATGATGGTGTGTCACAAATAAAAGTGCTCCTCTCTGAACTGAATAGTGCCGAGACACCGAACCAGCAGCAAGTGAGAGCTCTGGCTTTGCTGATTAACTTGGTGACATTTTGACTGCTTTGTTAATTCACCGTAAGTTTATTGTAATTGTTCGTCGTCTTATGGCAAAGGTCCTGTCGGTTTAATTCGTGTTGCCTTCAAGGAAACTGTGGACAAGCAAGAGCTCTTCTTTAAACAAAAACAACCAACGAGTTATTTTTATAATTAATCATAAAATATATTGAAGAGATTATTAAGGAATTATAATTGATCATCTTAGTGACTAGAGTCAATATTATCTTTTAATTATCAGCTGTGGTATAAATATTGTCTTTTCTAAGCATATTTTACACAACATTTAATTCGAAGGAGCCAGACTTTCTTATCTTTTTAAGACTCGTAATTTAATCACGAAAGCTGCTGTTCAAACGGACAAACAAATGTAACATGGGCATATAAGAAACATCTTGGAAAAGATTAAATATTTGATTTATGAGACTCAAGGTGATTCAGAACTTAAAGTGAAAAACATAACAGACCTTGGTCTGGTGTGAAAGTTTAGAAAAATCTTGATAAGTGCAGAGAAAAACTGAATATCAGTCGCAAGAAATGATTTGCAGCAGATAAAGTGCATCTGAGAATCATGTCCTAAGGAGATTGGAGGAAAAAAAATACATCAAAAACCTCAAACACGGCCTGGGAGAGGCATTATCCGTTAGCTTATCCATCTATGGGAACTCTTTTTGTTGGCAACAAAGTGATTTGTAGATAATTTTTAAGTGGCTACACAAACGAAATCCCTACTCCTTTAAACGGAGTCGGATACAAGAACGGATTGAAGATTTTAAAAGCAAAGAAAAGAGTGCGGCATTCGAAAGGTGACAAAATCACCTAAAATAAATTGGCTTATTTGAAGCAAAATATAAACTATGGACCTGATCAAGATTTTTGCAGAAATATTCACATCAAAACAAAATAGTGAAGTAGAAGGAAAACAATAATATAAATGTATACATTTTTTTTCTTCTGAGTACTAAAATTTTAACTTCAATTCACCTGGGTCGATACTTTGTGGAAAAATATTTCTCTCCATTTTACTATTTCGGTGTCTAATTAGATTAATTATGAAGTCGTTTCCTTCCAGTTGATTTTATTTCGGTTTATTAGACTTATAATTGGCAGAGTGCACATTGACGCGAAGCTTTTTAGATTTTCATTTGTAAATTTTTCGAAACGACTCATTTTGCAATTTGGTTATCTTTCTGCAAGTAGAAAGATAACCAACCTACTTACTTTTATGCAGCATTAGTCCAATGATAAGACTTAAGCTTGAGAGACTTGTGACTCGTGAGTTTTTTGAGAGCGGCCCACCATTATAAATGCAAATGTGACCTTTACCGAAAGCAGATCGAGCTTTCTCCCGCTCCGCTCGTTGCCGGAGGCTTAAGCGAAACACAGCTGTTCCATGTAAACAGAGATGTCTGTCACTGGAAAGTCAATATCAGAAGCTCTGTCATCTGAAGAAAAGCCCTTCTGTCTGCGTGTCACCAAATCTGCTGATAAATGGGCTGGTGAATAAAAAGGAAATTATAATAATTGGGGAAGCATAGTGAGAGGAAATGGGACAAAGAGCCAGACAAAAGAATCAAAGACTGGCAGATAAATAGAACAGAAAAGCAGAAAATAAGAGAGCAATCAAGTTTTCACCAACAAAGGCGAACTCTCAAGTTGACTCTTATTGCTTTCCTTTTTGTGCTTTTTGCCATTTTTTTTATTTTGTCAGGTTACTATGGCAGCGGGGTGAATGCCATCATAGTCTTTGCTGCATGCTTTCTGCCAGACAGTGACCGAGAAGACTATCATGACATAATGGAGAACCTCTTCCTGTAAGTAACTAGGTAATGACTAACAAAGACATGCCTCTCATTTCACACTGACCTCCTACAATAATTATTGTTTTCTGTACTATTAGCAAAACACTGACTCATCCCTTAAAAGTGCAAACAGTTTACAGATGGTAGAGAAATGATCTCTACCATCAGACACAGTAACGCTCTAAACTTGTTTGTTCTCGGATTAAGATTTATGTACCGTTGCTAAAATAGTTATAGTACGTTACACTAAATCATATTTCATTATTATTCCGAATTGGTAACACTTTATTTGACGGGGTGTGCATAAGACTGACATGACATCTGTCAGGAACATGAAGGACTCTTCATGAATGTTTATGACTGATGTCAAAGTCTCATTTGGTAAATGACACTTTTAATGCAAAGTTGGCTCTTTTAAAGGAATTTTAATGCAACTTTTAATGGAATTTTGCTTTAAACAAATTCTAAAATTACTGAATAATGCACAATTGACATTTTTAAATGACTTTGAATGCAACTCTTAGTTCAGTATTACATTAAAAGTGACATTATTTACCGAATGAGACTTCCTGACAACAGTCATAACCACTCATGCAGACTCCTTTATGTTCAATGACAGGTGTTATGTCATGTTTATGTTCATGTCGGTCTTCGAATAAAGTGTTACCCCATAATTTAAGTATAAATTTGATCTTTAAAGTAGATCAAATTTCATTACTATTCAAAAAAAAAATTATTTGTGATCCTCAGGTGAGTGAATGGAAACACAAAAGCCCACAAGATAAAACAAAGATGCAGACTCTACTACAGCATCAAGAGCTGTTTCCCATCCAAACAGACTGAAAGGCTGTTGGCTCTGGCTCAGCTTGTTCAGTGACTTTGTGGTTTCTCACTTTGGACCGCAAACAACCGAAGACATGTCAGAGGTGGGAGGGGAAACTTGAGCTTTTGCAGAAACTTCACTCTAAAATCAAATAAACATAGCAAACCGTGTTGACGCTGATAAAAACATTCATCACAACTGAATCTTACAGGGCGATCTGGTTTTGCCTCAGCTGGATGAACAATCCTGGCTGTGTAAATGTCCCCAGAATGCAGCTTCCATCTTCCAGTGTGACCAGAGTTACTGTAAGGGTCTTTAAGACACAGTGGGACATTTTCAAATCCCCTATTATCGTAATTGTGCGGCGTATCCCAAGCTAATCCTGGCAAAATTGCAGCATAGGTGAAGGAAAAAAAAAACAAAACAAAACAACAAAAAAAACTATTGGATCATAAATAAAAGGATTCTTTATTTCTATGAATGGAGCACATGTTGTGAACAAAGTTATATATCCCAGATGACATGTCTTAACAAAACCCAACCGAGATTAAACGTACAGTAATACACACATAAATGATAATACAGAGAGTTGACTCTCTTGGAAGATGAACATTGCAAAGCAAATGCTAAACGCTGTTGTTTCCACACCACACGAGGCTGTGTCAACAGCTTTATTGTTTGCAAAGTAACGTTGCTGAATCACAGAGAGAAAAAGTCTCTCTGAATGAAGTGACAGGAATAAAGTTTGCTTGCTGGGCTTGTGGCTCCACTGTTGTTCTGGCTGAATTGCGTTTCATGCCTTCCACAGTGCAGTTTAGATCCCACAGGCTGTTCTGTGACAGATATTCAGAGAGCTGGCACGTTTCAAGAGTTTTGGACAGAAATGAGAGAAGGTATAAAGTGGCGTCTGCAGTTTTCCGTGCCAGATGGCTTAAAGTCTGATTCCGTGCAACGGGGGGAGTCACTGTAGCTTTTGTGGAGAACCATGTGTGTCGGTGGGAGATGATCTCAGCGGAGTCACACAGCCGAGTCGATCGGCGGCGTTGGACCGCGAGGGCGTCGAGCAGGACTGAGACCAAAAGTCCGAGAAGTTAAAGGAGTCGCAGAGAAAACTCGCTGACGACATTTTCAACTTTATTTTCAAAGGGAGCCGCAAAGTTCCCCCCGCTGACCGAGAGAACGGAGGAGGTGGACGCAGAAACGAGGACGGAAAGTGATGGCGCTTCGTTATAATTTGAGTGCGGGGTTCGATTTCAAAGAAGGGACTTTTACGATGGAGCCTCCGAGATTGATGTTGAAAAGAGAAGATGAAGAAACGGGAAGCAGCTCATGAAGCAACACTTGTACCAATTTCTCGTCTCTTCTGACATCAGAGGAGAGAGATTTCAGCATCCTGCTGGTCGAGGTTTTCAGATCCACTGTAACACTTGTCTACTATTTCCTCATATATCCGCATTCAGGTTCAAGACAACAGCTGTTTTCTGGCTTTAAGATCTGGCCCAAAAGTAATGCACGTAAATGACAAGAAAAGAGAACGATCACACTGACTAAATAGATTAGCTACAAATTTTAGCAATACACGCCCACAGACTGCAATTAGTCTTCTGTTTCTTTATGAAGCCATTTGGTATTTAGCATTTCTAATTTAGTGCTGGAGTCCTTGAGTTTGATGTCGAGTTACGATCGCACGCCTCACTTTGATCCTCAAATTTGCTGTGGCCCAAAATAATAAGTAACTGAATGTTATGAAAACTTTTGCCTCACGGTCACCATGTAATTGTTTGAATTTACGGCAACAAAAAATACGTGTGTTTCAGCTATGTGATCAGCACGCTGGAGCTGATGGTGGCAGAGGACTACATGATTGTTTATCTGAACGGAGCCACGCCCCACAGGAGGATGCCCGGCCTGGGTTGGCTGAAAAAGTGCTATCAGATGATTGACAGAAGGTGCGTCCAGTTGTCGTCCTTCTGAGATCTGAGGCTCGCGATACTGGCATTGCATTTGGTTTAAAGCTGTACTGTTTGTTCTGCGTATTTTGAAGAAGTTAATGTGGAAATGTGCTCAGTTGGACAGGCGTGCCTAACACTGATTTGTGCTTAGGCTCAGGAAGAATTTGAAATCCTTCATTATCGTTCATCCGTCATGGTTCATCAGGACTGTTCTGGCCATCACCAAACCCTTCATCAGGTAAATGTTTGACACAATTGGTGTCTGGCTGAATGTGTGTTTCATGTCGGCGTAAGACAATTTAGCAGCTACTTTTGGAGGACAACTTTTTGTCTGTAGAATTATTTACTAAAAAAAAAAAAAAATCGAGCATTTTCGATATCATTTGAATGTGCTTATAGAAGTTATATGATTCATATCTTTGAAGAGTTGGATGTTTTTATTTTTTATTTTAAATAAACAGAAAACTCCAGTGTTACGTCACAGTGCTTTCTTGTTTAAAAAGGTATTTTATTTCAAAAATGTCTGTTTACTTCTCGCTCTGAAAAACAATGGAAAGGCTAGATGTGATTTATTTATGCTTTATACTTTTCATGATTTTGTTTTCCCCGGAGTGCAAAACAAAATCATCTATACTTGATGTGATTTTTACACTTTTAACACTGATATTAATGTTAGAGGTTTTAAGAAATACCAGCTGCATGAGCTTTTTTAGATTTGGTTCTTCTGTGTCATCAAAGCGAAAGCGGTGTTGAACTTCTTTACTTCAAGCCAGTCCATGTCTGGTCAGAACAGCGCGGCAGGTCTTCGCCTCAAAAATCTGAATTTATGCCTTAAGGCGAGACAGAAATGATGTCCAAATTCCTTAGCATCATGAGATTATGACCAAATAAATTTTCTCACTTTTAACAATAAACAATGAGATGTTATCATGACAACAAGGTAAACGATAGCTTAAACAGGTTGATGTTTAATATAGACTTATTTTTGTTATATTTTTGGTGTGAATTATGCCATGGGTCTAATGATGTGAAGGCTTTGTGCTATGCGGCACAAATACTGCTTGAAATTATTCACAACATGAAACATACTTTTTTAATGTCTTTCCTCACGCACTTTGGTAAATGTGCACATAATTTCTCCTGCTTTCAGCGCCAAGTTCAGCAGCAAGATCAAGTATGTGAGCAGTTTGGATGAACTGCGGGAGCTAATCCCAATGGACAGCATCCAGATCCCAGAGTGCATCATTAAGTGAGTCCCTCTTAGCCCCTGAGTGCAACTCCCAGTCTCATCCACTGCAAACCTGATTTGTGCTAATGGCTTCGTATTCATCTTGTTATTTGAACTCCCACCTCTAGACTCGACAAGGAACTGAAGGAAGCGGCGGAAAACTCCAAGTAAGCGTTGGCTGTTTTTTGCATCTCACCGCCCTCCTTCGCGGAGGCGGTGGTCCCCCAGTCTCGGTGTTCACCCTTGGCTGGAGTGTTCATTTATCAGATTGGAGGCTTCTCCTGGATGAGGACCAGTTTTTATTTGGCTGCGTTTCCAATTACACCGGCAAGACACGGAAAAACAAAAAGAGAGTCGCTAAAGACGCTAAACGCTTTGCTTTTATCCAATTTGTCATTACAGTAAAACAAACGAGCCAGTCTTTATTGCACGTAGATCTATAGCTCTGATAATAAATGTATAACCAACAGATCCAGACATCACAAACTAATCACTCGCTGCCTAATTGTGTAACGAATCATAAATTGCGCAGGCCTCCAAATTCCCTGCATGGAAGCATATTACAGCAGTAAATCGTCCTCTAACGACGTCTCCCATTTGTTTCTTCTGTCAAGAATAAACAGCTTCCTGCAGGGAACCGAGCCGACAGCAGTCAGCAGACCAGAGTAAGTCCTCAAAGATGTTAAAAGTTCACACACAGAAGACAAATGGCCACACGTCTGCTGTCTGTCACACACACATAAACACACCCATCCTAAATGGTCTACTTTGTTTGTGTGTTGTTTTTTTTTTTTTCCTCCATCTTCACAGCAGAAAAGACCAGGCCGGTGCCAGCAGCTCGTAAACCAGAGCATCCTGAATTGATGGGTCGCCTCAAAAGTAACTGCGATGAACGGGTCAAGCTTGAAAAGTGCTGCTTGCTTGCGTTGTGTGCGTGTGTCGGTGTTTTTCCTCTCAGACACTGGAGTTCAACTTAAAGACAACCTGCTGTAGTTCCTGTTTAAACTCTGATCAATTTTAACTGTAGCATCTGCTGCACTGTACGCCTTGCAGCTTAGATAAACCCGTAGTCGAGTGTGCAGCAGTCAGCAGAGTAGCATCAACGTTAACTTGGTGGTCAAAATGGTAATGCGATCACACGGCACACCTCAAGAATTCAGTTTCAGAGACTGTTTTATTTATGTGCATGAAAAGCAGCAAAGCAATAATGCCACGCCTTTTTGTGGTTACCCTGATCTTTAGAAACGAGAGGCGACTTTTTGTGTCAGCTGTTTTACACGACAAGGGACCAGAGGACGGCAGAAAAAATTAAAATAAAACCTTGTGCCATAGTTTATGACCGACTTGCAGTCGAGTCACTTAATCTTGTATCTTGTCCTGAAAGTGCGGAATCAACATATATATAGATATTTAAACTTTATAGTGTCAATCTAAGAGCCAAGCAGGGGTAAGTTCAATATAAAATCAATCACATTGTACTGTGGACACAAATGTGTGTGTGTGCGCGTGTGTGTGTGTTTCAGCACTTGCTGGATCCTCAGACAAAACCTCAAATGACCTTAACAATGGGATGTCAGCGAAGCACAACGTCTCATCAGTGTGTGTCCATATGCATGTGTGTATTTGTACATCAGTGCATGGTCCCCACGTCACAGAACTGGTGATCCGAACTCGTGTCTTAATGATTGTGCAAAAAAAAAAAAAATGAAGAAATGCTGTCTATTGATTCAATAAAAAAGTGATTTATAGCCTGCAGGCCGTTTTGAGCCACGTCTCGTTTGTGAGTTAAACCTTAAGGGCTCGTTAAGATCATTTCAGAATCACTTTTTTTTTTTTTTATTTATTTGAGTGATGCATTTCCAAATTCAAAATTTTAATGGTAAACAAATAACAGTACAAGAAGGAAAACAAGCAAATAAATCAACTTAAGCAACACCACAAACAAATGACAGGTAGAGATGAAAGAAAAAACTGGCAAACATCAGTGATTTATGAGAGGTCTTAACTGTTTCAGAAAATTATTTGCATACTGATTGTATGTAAGAGATAAAATCTGGATCGTCTCCATGGTATTAATGTATAAAGGATGTGCTTACAGCCAGCTTCTAAACTTGTGTAGATCTAATCCAACACCAGACGCACCACGGATTTTATAAAGTCATGATTTTCAAAACAAAAAGGAAAAACATTTGTACAAAATAAAGTGTGTACTTAGTTTGTTACATCGACTGTAAATCACTACACACAACATGATGCTTATTTCCGGTTTTGCAGCGCTACTCTGAGAAATGCATCAAATTTACATTTGGTTTTTCTTGTGCCTAAATGGGGTCCAGGGTTCGGTTCCAAACCTTTACTGCACATCGTCCACCCCTCCTCTGTTTGCCCATTTCCTGCTACTGAAGGCCACTAGTGCCACAAAATCAGAAAAACAAACGATAAATAAAAACTAGATTGGTCAAAACAAGAATTGGGAGGTCAAGACGCAAAGAAAAGTGGAAAAGTTAATTTGCCTTTAGCAGCAGAAACGGCGCATTTGACGTTTGATCACAGCCTTTATTATCTCTAAAGATGCTCAATACTAAAAGAAAGCTATAAACGGTCACCAAATGACTGCTCGCGATCCCCTCTAACCTTTCTGCGCTGCAGGACATAAATGTAGACTGATGACAGTCACATGCGGCACCACAGAAATGAGGAAACCAGCATAACATGTCCGCTGTAGGCATGGTAAATATGGATTTATTTCTGAAGCACATTTCATTATGTGGATGGATAGCAGTCATAAAATGCTGCTCATTATAAATAGCTTCTCACGTCTCATTTGTCTGAGCTCATTGAGTGAAGGATAAATAGATCTGTCCCTGAGGGCAGAGCGAGATTAACAGTACAGAGGAGAGAAATAGGAAGAGGCAGAAATGTCTAGAAGAAAAACAACAGAAGAGTGTTCTCTTATCGCTCCTGGTGCCTCATCTGAACCTGTAGCTCTCGTCGTCGTACTCTAGGTCGTCCTCGTTGTCGTCCCCCAGCTGTCCGTACCGAAACTTCCTGTACACCGTGCCGTCCTGGCCCATGTAAACAATGTCCTCGTCGTCGTCGTCATCGTCGTCGAAGTCGTCGTCCTTCTTCCCAGAGCGACGCTTACCGATGTCGACGAGCTCGGCCTCCTGGAAGCGGCCTCCGGACGCGGAAGAGGTGGAGGAGTAGCCGCCGCTGTATATATTGCCGCCTCCGAACCCCCCGCCGGAACCGAGCTTTTTGTAGCCGCGGGGAGGGAGGTCCGAGGGGCCGCTTTTGGAACGGGAGTGCCTGACGAGGAAGACGACGCCGATGAGACCCAGGACCAGCAGGATGGAGGCGATGATGAAGATAGTCAGGTTCCCTCTAGACACCTCTTCCTCTTCGTTCCTGAATGCCAAGTTTGTGCTGAGGATGCACTGGCCTGGGAAAAAACAAAACAAAGATAAACAAATGCAAATAAATAAAGCTATAATGACGTGTTTACTGTGGTGTGAAAAAGTATTTGCCACCTTCCTGATTTCCAACGTTTTTTGAATGTTTGTCGCCTTTAAGCGTCTTAGAACATCAAACCATTTGTACAATTAGTCAAAAAAAATATACATGTCAACACAAAATGCAGTGTTGCAATTGTAATACCCATTCTGAATATTATAATGCACAGATAAAAAAAAAAATCACATAATACCCCTCATCCCACACAATAGAGAAGGTTTGTCATTGCAATGTGACAAAAAAGGTTTAAGGACTATAATTAATTTTCCTACTGATTGAAGCAAAGTGCTCTGCATGTAAATTAAAGCAGCACTCTCTAAATTAAGCACAAGGATAATTAGTCACAGATATACAGATAGATGAGACCTACAGCTAAGCTTCACGTGTCGATCATTCACGTCTGTTACGCAGCCGCGACTCCCCGTTTTGCACTTTTCCAACAACCGTCGGTTTCCTGTAGCTAACCTCGAGTCTCGGTGCAGTTACAACAGTCCTGCTTTGGCGTTTCCGTGCCCTTCCGCTCCTCATCGAGGCGGCAACACAGCAGACAACGCCCGCCTGCTTCCAGGATCGCCTGAGCTGAACAGGAAGTGCAGCTGGACGGCCCCGGCCCCCGACACTCCTGGCAGGAGTCGTCGCAGTCTTCGCACGAGGCGTCCAATTCCTGCTGAGAGACGGAAGTGGTTGAAGCAAGGCGTAGCTTTTTCTTTTCATTCATTATTTTTTTAATTAATTAATTTTTTTTTTTTTTTACTTTTAGCTCGTATTGTCAAGCTTCCAAAGCGTTCTTTAAAGATCTGAGTAGCAGCTTCTCTCCATGAGTCAATTAACATGCATCGGTACCTATCAAACAGTCTCAATCAGCAACCTCGCAGCAGGAGCAGGGCGATTTATTTAGAAAATGAGTCACTGCAATAAATTTCACTCTGCTGTTTGAGTCTGCTTTGGGTAGAGCGAGGAGTCTGTTTGAATCACATTACATGGTACCTGAGGCCCAAACATTAGCGATTATTTTGGTGAAGTACTAGGGGAATCTATTTTTAATTAAAAAAAAATAAAATAAAATTAATTTTAGTGAAATTAAAGCCTGGAAAAGTGAGGTTACCTTTACAACGGGGTACTGGCCAATATCGCACATGGACTCACACCGTCCGTCTGACAGCAGGTAACCAGGGAAGCATGAGTCACAGGACTGGGAGGCTTTTCCTGCACACACACATTCATTGAAAGGGTAAACAAGGTGATCCTCTATATTCTAGATCTTAAGAAAAATCGCAGAATTCCAGCCTTTAATGAGTAATTTTGTTGATAACCCCTATCAGTTCAGTAATAACACTTCTATGTCTTCAGTTTTCTACTGCGGGTGTTCAGAATTGTCAAAATACGAGTTAAAACGAGTGCAACGCACTGCAAAAGTTCTCACAGACCCTGAATGTTTTCCCACATTGTGGCACATTGCAAACACAAACTTCTAGCAGAAAATTGTTGCCTTATTTCCAGCAATTTTTTAAAAATAAGCTGATATCTGAAAAGTGTGGAATGCATGTATACATTTTCAGCCTGTTGTGAGACAAAACTTTGTAGAAACACTTTTTGCTACTATAGCGACAAGAGTTTCTGGCTGATTCCCGACCAGCTTCGTACATCTGTTTCCTTAACATTTGGTTCAGTGCAAAGTATTTGAGTATGGTAGTGAAAATATCACACTAACGAAATGTTCTTTTATTATAAAGTAAAAGCACATGGGAAGTTGGCTGGAGCTACACACAGGGCAATCGCAGAGGTCATGTTACATTGGAAAGAAGAATGGCCGGAAATTCGGTCTCTACAAAGACTTTTACCAGCAGTAGCAGCTAAATTTATTTGGGAAAAGATTAAATGTAATTTTCCTCGTTCCACAAATGTACTGCCTTATGATGGTTTCATGAAATCCCAACACTCTACAGTTTGTGTTTGAGCACTTTTCAGAGGGTGAGATCATTGGTCAAGACACAGTAAATCTTTCCTTTTACTACACAGTATCCTTTACGCCAGTCGGATTGTCAGTTTTTCTCATAAAGCAAGTTAATTTGTGATTGTTTGAAAATGAACCTCTTGTTCATTTCTTTATGGTGCAGCTTAGATGCACAGTTTGTACAGGACTAAACCTTATCAGACTACAAAAGCCAGGAAGATCTTCACTATTGTACACTCAGTCTGTTTCTCCTTGAGTCCCTTTTAGTCTGTGCTAAGCACTGAATGTTTGGGTCGTACCACGAGCCTTAGCGCTCCGAGGATTCGCTGACAGCTAGCAATTTGCATGCCAGTTATGCAGACTATTTTGCTGATGCTATCGCATTATGATTAGGAACTGAACTGCTCCTAATGTTGCTCACTTTTTGACAGATGCCTTTGTGCAATCATTATGATTCACTTCAACTGTCAGCGGTATAATTGTTTAAGTAATTCGTTGCCTATTTTCTGGGTCATTTATAATATTCCAAAGTGGTACAAGCTCAGTTTCACACGAAAATATGCAAAAACCAAGTTCTTTCATTTCTGTAAATCGTTGTATTTTCTCTCTCTCCGTGTGTGTGTGTGTGTAATCTATGACCCACTTATAGTAAAACGTTTTTCTGTCTATCTTAAACATTTTCTTGCTGTAAGCTCACGAAGATTAAAAAAAAAAAAAATGATGTACAAGATGTAACAAATCTCGCATGTTCCGTTTTAAATCAGGTGAGGAACGGACAGAAACAGGAGGCCTAAATGCCAGTAGGAGTGATTAGTGGATCTAATTAATTAAATGCCCTGAAGCTGTAAGGGAACTGTGACTGGAGGAGGAGAAGAGGGAAAAGTAAGCAAAGAGTAAGTAAAACTTTGTTTTTATAGCATCTTTCAAGATGTAGATCACAAAGAACTAAACACTGAAAACCCCTTAAAAAACCAAACTAAGTACACAGAATATTTAATGTGAAGCAATTGTAAAAGAAAATCTGAATAAGTAGCTTTTTAAATGCTCGATAGAATCCAGTTGCCTCGAGCTAAAGGGGGAGAGGTTTCCAGAGTCCTGGGGCGACTGCTGAGAAGGTTGTGTCGCCTTTAATTTTCAGTCTCGGCACAACCAGCAGGCCTTGGTCACATTGCCTTAGGGACGTGAGCACTGGGAGCCCTTTTAAATGACAGCTACGATCTTAAATTGTACTCAGGAGTTGATGGGGAACCAGTGCAGCTGGACAAGTAGCAGTGTGATATGACAGATAAGAGCTGAAAACGGGGAAACGCTGTAAATGTGACCACACGTAGGATAAAGAAAGAAAGAAATATATAGAAATATATACCAGGCTTTCAGGGCTGGTATTTTTCTCAGATAGACGCAATGATATTAAAAGTCAGAAAACCTAAATACAAGTTAAAAGGTACAACTTGTAAGAAAGATCCTTTGTTACTCAGATTGTAACAGAGGATCTTAGATCTTGTTGTAGGTTTTGGGTTTGTTGTGCTTCCACTTGCAGATTACCTTCAAGGTGACCACAAAAGAATTTGGTCAAGTTTAGATCCTTACTTAGAAACTTTTGCAGAAATACTTTTTCCAGCTTATCTTTCAGGACTTAAGTGTGTAGAACTCTGGCGAGTCTATCAACATGTGAATGTAAAAAATAATCTGCAGATAATTTACAGTGACTCGAAGTTAAATTAAAAATTAAAACCTGCTGGCCTCTTTTTGTTGCTTCCTCCTGACTTAGCAAAGCTAGATTATCAGACGATAGTACAAGAATTATATGGCCAATTCTTTTAAGTTTTTTTTTAACGTATGGAGTTGAAAGAATATTTCCACAACAAATCTTTTTTATTTTTTTATTTTTTTTGCATCCTTCCTGCTTCCTGCTGTGGAGCGTCTTCAGCTCAGAACCTCCGGCTGTGAAGCACACGTGGATCTCTGAAAGTCGGTAGCGATGAACTGTCCACAAATTGTCAAAGAATATACTGAGTATGATTTTGTCTCCTTTCTGATCTCCAGGAGGAATGACCATTTAAAACAGAGGAAATCAGGTGAAGTGTGAGTGCAGACAGAACCACCATCCAAACGCAAAGAAGAGGAGGAGCAGAGCGAGAAACACAAGTGGAGAGACTTTGACCTAATTCTTTTCACCATATCTTTATGCTCTAATGCCAATTTTCGTTCTTTTGTGCTTTCAGTTGCTCCTTTTGCTTAACCTGGAAACTTTAATAGCCATTTTGCCCATGGTTGAATTATGTTAAAAACGAGGGTAAAACGAGGTGCAGACCAGTTTGTTGTTATAAAAACAGAATAGTTTTGAAGTTCGAAGAAGTTAAAATTGGCCTGGTCTCCCTAAAAAAGTGGGGCAGGCAAATTTATGCCTCCGGTGGTTATAATTGGCTTTAGTCTGACAGCAATTCGTCTGTCAGCTTATGTACAAAGCTCAGTTTTAATGGTTGGGGGGGGGGGGAAACAAAACATGTTCTGTTTTCTATTCTTTACTGAGTTTTTCATCTGTTTGATTCAGTGGGGAATTCTGGATGCAAATCTCCATTAACACCTGGGTCCAAAAAAAGGCATTTTAATTTTTACAGAAAAGCCTCTTCTAAAAATCGCTCACGGGAATGTTTCAGGAGAGATTTTTATTTTCTTTCTAACTTTCACTTAAGGACAACACACTTTTCCCAAATTCAAACTGTAGGTGGATGGATCTGGATGAATGACTGGATGGATTGTTTAGACATGATCTATTTTCTACATGAATTCTTGTGAAAATGAAAATATTCACAGCAGTGCTTCAACAAATTAGCATGCTCAACTCAGAACATTTGAGGTTCAACTGTATATTTATATCCATCCTTTACTATAAAGGTAATGAAATGGTTGCTCCAATTAGCAAGAGCTTCCTGATTTCAGAAGTTAAAAGTCGGTGGCAGAGGTGTAAAAGACAATAGAAATGGCCAGATGTGTTTTCATTAATGAAGGTCTGGTTCCACTAAAACAATTATTTACTATGACATACTGTAGGGAAATTAAAAAGAACCGCATACCAATCAAACCATTAGATTAGGTTTTGGTTTACATTAGTGTGTCCAAATAAGACCCCCTTGACATGTGGGACTTCACTAAACTACCAATTTCCCATTTGGAGGCCACTGAGAATGATAAAGTATTCTAAATGTTTTTTTTTTTGTAATATTACTTAACAAAAAGACTATAAAATAGATGCATGTACCGGAGCATGCTCTGCAGCCAGCGTTGCAGGGTTCGCAGGTCCTGTGTGCAGGGTCGTGATGGTAACCCAGAGGACACGACGGCAGGCAGCGGCCTTCTTTCCGCAGGTAGACGAGGCCCGGAGCGCAGCTCTGGCAGCCGTCCTCGCCGCCCTTAATGCACTCGCTGCAACTCGGGTCGCACTTCTCACAAATCTTTGAGTCAGGGTTTCCATAGTGACTGGAGGACAGATGGCGAAAGTTATGATAGATTAGATTCAATTAAATGAAATGAGGTTAGAGCTTTCCCACGGGAAATTCCCTTTCACAGCCTCACATATAGTTAGACTCATCCCGCGCAACCAAGATATGACAAGGAAAAACAAACAACAGAGGGAATGCAGTCATAATGAAAATCCTCAAGTCACTGATGAGGGCTGTAGCGTCGTCCGCGCGCATCTCTGATGGTATGTAGCCTCCGTATCCTGTTTGCTTTCACTTGGGTATTTAACTGCACATCAATTTTCCGCCACATTAATTTTGTCCCTCTCAGTTACTGCGCTGGGCCTCATAAAGGAACATTTAAATCCCAAACTAAATTAGAATGCAATTAAAGAAACCTGTCTGGTGATCTTTTAGCGTCCACAATGACATTTCGCGTCCGGGCTGATCGTTTATTAAGAACGACGCTAATGAACGAGCAGGTCAGCACGACAGTGAGCGGGTTCAGCTACCCGTGCTGGCACGTCTTCACACACTCCTTGACCTCTCGGAACAGGTGGGCTTTGCAGGTGAGGCACTGGTGGCTCTGCTTTCCGACACAGGACTGACAGGAATCGTGGCATGGCTTGCATTTCGACTCCTCCTCGTAGTAGCCCGTTTGGCATTCGTCCACACAGGTGCCATCTGCAACCGACACACGCATACACATATTGCAAAAGCGCTAGACCTCTGTGAATGAACTCAAATCAAACTGGACTCACTGAACAGGAGGTGTCCCTGATTACAGCTCAAGCAGTGGGTTTCGGTTGGACCTGAACACCTGTAGCAGTATTTATGGCAAGGATGGCATTCCCCGTCCTCGTCTGCGTACTGGCGAGGCGAACACTTGTTGGCCAATGGGAGACAGCGGTTGTAGCCGTCCAGCCTTTGACCCGTCCTGCAGCTGGTGCAGGAACCCATGTGGGGCCCAAAACATGTGAGGCATGATGCGTCGCAGTCTGGGAATATGAAAGTAATAATTACTCAATCAAAGGATGTCACCAGTCCATATGGCAACTACGACGGGGTATGTAAAGCCTTACATATGAAGGGGATTTACAGTCAGAATTCAATATTCGAAGGTTTTCAGCATTCTGTCACCTTACAAATACAAACGTCAATGTTTTTCACGGGTATTTTCTAAAAGGATTTTGTGAGACTGTGTTTTTTTTTATTTTTATTTTTTATTAATAACAGGTGTGGAATCAAAACCCAGATGGACGTGTCGAGTACCAATAACATACGGGCCGACCGCCACCTCTGCTGCACACGCAAACCACAACAAAGCAGTGCAGAGCTGTGAAAAACACATCGCTTGCTGTTCAGAAATATGTTATTTAAAAAATATAATCTGAACACTTTTATTCACACCTGCTTTACTATGAAGTAACACCCCAGAAAGTTAAGGGATGAAGTTGGGGAGACATTTTAAACAGGTTTTAAAACAACATCTCCAATCTTTTATTCAAAATTAGACAGAGCATGGCACTGGCTGACAACCTAAAGATAGTAGGGAAAAGAAGAAACTAGCAACAAACTGTCCCCCTAAACACACAACCCCACAGTAAAACATGGTGATTACAGCTTCATGTAGGTATGTTTATTTTAGCAGCGACAGGAAAAGTAAAGGGCAGATGGCCAGGGCTAAACACAGATCAATCCTGAAAGAAAACAAGTTCATTCACATAAAATCTCTGTAAATTAAAATGGAGTTTGTGATTCCGAAAGAGACCGAATTTGACGAGGTCTAAAGAATACTTTTTCAAGGCGCTGCGTACTTATTTACTACACAACTTACCCGGCAATTTTTACTGGTCGTGGTTTAAAAATACCCTCTGTGTGCAATATATTCTGTATCATAACAGTTTCGCAGCACAGCAGTGCTTTTCCCTTTAAATATATTCCTACTGGCAGATCCTTTCAGTAGCAACTAAAGTAGGCATTGCCTACATTTTTTTCCTTTCAGGTATACACCATCCTCTGTGTTTTTTGAAAAAAACAAAAAAACAAAAACAAAGCCAGAGCGGTGTGTCTTCCTCCAGGGAACTGTCAGTGGTATCACTATGCAGTTCCAACGTTTGACAGCTGCCTGTTAACCGTCGGAAAAGGGTTGCTATTTTAGTCTGAGCCATCGTCGAGAAACACACTGAGGCAAAGTAGAGAATATAATTGAGGGTATGCATGAAGGGTGCACTTCTGGCAGAAAACTCAGTTGCAGAGGTGACAAATGACTTTGGCGTACTTTGAGTCGCAGCAGAATGTTAATTAGACGAGGAGATTTTCCTGCAAATGCATCCATTTGAAGTCCTCTCTCCTGAAAAGCCTTTTGCGCAAATGTGCGACGCGATGTTTTGCATCGACTTACCTATGCACTCTCCTGTAACTGCATTCCTGTACGTGTCCGAGGGGCAAGGTGCCAGACAGCCCCCGTTGTGCAGGACGGCCTCCGGGTCGACGCAGGCATCGCAGTCATTGCTGTCGGGGCCGTCGCAGAGAGCACAGTCGGCGTGACAACGCAGACACTCCCCTGCTTCGTCGTCCTCAAAGAACCTCTCTGGGCACTCCGGCACACATTGGCCTTCGTGGAGAAAGTGGTACTCCTCGCAGCCTGCAAAGAAAGAGGACAGCTTTCCAAATAAATCCGTGAGCAAAAATTATGCCTGATATATTTTTTTAAAGAGAGAGAACAAGTTGAAGAAACATCATCATCTGTCACACATGAAAAAAAGATGTCCTTTTTTCATATTTTTTTAAGACGAAAAAAGGACATCTGTATATTTTGATTTTATTAGATAAAAAAGGATTAAAAAAAATAAAAAATAAACTTATTATGAACAAAATCTGAAATTCTACTTTCTAGCTCTATAAAAGCTAAAGTTAAAAATGAGTTCCTACAAATTAATGTCATGTTTCCACACCTGTGCATTGTCCAAGGGGGTCACAGTCCTGACAGGCGGGTGGGCAGCGACGGCACTCCTTGCCCTGGACAACGTGTGATGGAGGACACTCTTCCACACACTGGTGATCATGCAGGAGGAGAGGCTCGTCGCAGGTCAGGCAGTGAGTGGCATTTTTCTCACAGGACGCACAACCAGCCGCACAGCTGAGACACAGCTGGCCTGCAGAATAACCCCTGCAGAGATTTAGACGGATGTCAGTGGGCCGATGGTGAAAAAAAATAAACTAAATAATAAAAAAAATCACATTGATTTTTATTATGTGTTTTGGGGAGGTACACTCATTATATTGAAATTTTATGTAACAGACCCACGAAAGAGTGCGTCCCTGTGAAATAAAAAGGATGATGCGTTGTTTTCTAAAACGTTCTAAAAATGCAGCCTCCCTGAGCCTCTGCTTTGCAGAACCACCTTCTTCTGCAGGTCTTTTGCTGTTTTGCGGATCTGGAAATGTACATTTTTGCTTCTTTTTTTTGTAAAACACTTAAAGCTTAGTCAGATTGGATTAACAGAGTGTGAGCAGTAATATTTAAGCTGCCACAGATTCTCTGGTATGGACTATTCTAACACACACATATATATATATATATATATATATATATATACACACACACACACACACACACACACGTCTTTATTCAAACCATTCTGCTGTGGTCTTTGCTGTACATTCAGGGTTTCTGTCTTGATGAACACGGTCAACCACGACTTTCTTCTGGGCACCACACCACAACGACTTAGTATGTCAGAAACAAATCTGACCAAACAAACCTGCAGTCTGGATCTTTACACAAAACTCTTGGCTGTTTCCATAGTTACTGATCTCCCCTTTTGTGTCTTGGTTGGTTTGAAATTCTGCCACATGACATCTTGAGATGTTTAAAGAATTGGATGCTGATTTATGATACAATTCTGCTTTTAACAACTCTGCAAATTTGCTTCTGTGTTCTTTTGTCTTCATAATCCTCTAAAAAAAGCCTCTTATTACTTCACAGAACAGCAGTAAATTAGGTGACTGCTTAAAGTAATGTAATGTACTGGATTGTTTTAGCTGTATTGGAATAAAGGGGATTGAAAAACAAATGTGTTCTACACTTTTCTTTTTCTTTTTTTTTTGTAAAAAAAACAAGCAAAAAAATGTTGCAAACTGTTTATCATTCTGCTTCCACTTCGCAATTTTCCACGTTTACGCATTGGTGTGAAATCCTAATAAAAGTCAACGAAGTCTGTAACGATAACGAGACGAAAGTGCGTTTGAGTACTTCTACGAGACAATTTATATTCCGACTGTGTTTATTCTCCTGCATCAGCAAAATTATATCTCTTCAGCATCATCCTTAACTCAATGAAAACGCCTGGAAAATAACATGTGTTGAGGAGAATGAAGCTACACCCATAAATTGTTGTGTTTTGGTTTCATTTATTATACTATTTGACTTCTATTGCATATGAAAAGATCAAAGAATCTGTCTTAAGTGCTGCTGGGCTACACAAGCAAATGGACGTGCACCATTTACTCCCACAGCTCTTCAATAAAGAAGGCAACTAACAATTTATCAAGTCAAACACGAGCCTGACTGTGTGGAAATGTGGTAGAATTTGAATATGATAAGAGCTGCATGTCTAAACCAGACCTGTCAGTGCTAATGGAGCGCTGGGAACTATGTCTATGTCTGGGAACATCACAGTTTAATGACCGATAAGATAGGGAGAAAAAATTACGACAAATATGTCTGCACACGTGAATTAAATATCGATTCTGATGTAAATACACCATATTACTTCCTGCAATCTTAATTTTTTTTGGTAGCACTTTATTTGAAGGGGGGTGAATAAGACTGTCATGACACTGTCATAAACATGACATAACACCTGTCATGAACATGAATAAGCCTTCATCAATATTTATGACTGTTGTCATAAAGCGTCATTCGGTAAATTATGACACTTTTAATATAAAGTTGACATTACTCAAAATGTCTTTGTTATGACAACTTGACATTAACCAAGAAATCATTACTGTTCAAACTTTACCTTTAATTACATAAAGTTACCTAATTTTTAAAGTGCAATCAGTAATACTTTTATAACAAATTTATATCAGTAATGATTTCCTGGTTAATGTCAAGTTGTCATAACAAAGACATTTTGAATAATGTCAACTTTGTATTAAAAGTGTCATAATTTAGCGAATGACACTTTATGACAACAGTCATAAATATTCATGAAGGCTTATTCATGTTCATGACAGGTTTTTATGACAGTGTCATGTCAGTCTTATTCAACCCCCTTCAAATAAAGTGTTACCATTTTTTTTTTACAAACGGATAAACATCAGCTGTCAAGCAGAGCAAGAGCGATAATTGTGAGCGCAGTTAAATGAGTCAGAAATTAAGCAGCAACAGGACACATTCCTGACCTGACACACTCTGTAACACACTGTCCGTTCTGCAGGAACAGCGGAACGCGGCGCGAGCTCTGACAGCGGCTGCAGCGCCGAGCGTCGGCGCACAGCGAGCAGCCCTGAGGGCAGGCCTCGCACACGCCGCTCAGTTGGCTGGCGAAGAAACCCGCAGAACACTTCGACACACATGTCTGCTGCATGGTCAGAAATCTCCCTGCAGCAAAAAGAGCTGGATGTAATGTGTTGCAACAGTTAAAACGTAAACCGGCAGATGCGGCACCGAGAGGTGATTGACAGACCTTTCCCACATTTGGTGCACTGGTTTTTCTCCGGTCCGGAGCAGAATTCACAGGATGGGTGACAGTCTTCACATACCCCATAATCTGAAGGGAAAACAAAGCAGAGATTACGGCGGTACACTCGTAATAAAGTGACTTTTTGTTAGAAAACAAGAGGAAGCCGAGTCCTGATCCAGGACCGTCATAGTAACTTAATGTGGATTTAGGAAAATGACTGTCAACAGAAAAGAAACTCACACAATTTAGGCATGAAACAGATTGTCATATTTATTATGTAACATCTTAGATTAATTTTAAACAATGACAAACTCAACTATTATGTGTTAAGGCATAACCTTCTGTAGCTTTATGTTTAAGATACAGTTTTTAATTGGTAAAAGGTCTATTAATCTGTTGAAAATCAGTTTTTCCAAGGCAACACCATGTTGAAAGTACCTCACTTAAGCACTGAGTTCATTTCAGGCACCAGGTGACACCTTCCTCCAGATTGGTAAAGTACATAAATGCAAAGCATCAGACAAACTTCATTTTTTGTGCTTACCTTGGTAAGCTCAAAAAAATGGGCTACAAGGTTTTATTCAAAGAAAACCTTGGGCTATAAAATCCATTCATACATACATTTTTATGGAGTGGAATCCAACACAATACACTTTCATCAATTTCAAAAGGAAGTCTTGGATGCGGAAGTTTGAATTTATCGCTGATTTTTGGAAATCCAAGCATGGTCACACATACACACACAAAACGCGTCTTGTGTGAATGAGGTTATATTTCCCTCACTAGCTTGACCACACTCTTTGAAGTCTCTTGGCATAAATATGATTGGACTTGACCACTATTCTTGGTGCAGATCAGTAAAATTATGTGAGTTCCTGGTTCCTAACTTGCATTTAAAGATAGTCCCTGAATGTTATGGTTCAGGTTAGGCCCATTCTAGTGTATCTTCTCCATTCAGGAACACTCAACTCTCATGCTTTGGACTCGATTGTGATTTAGAAAATAAATATGTTGCATGTAGAGTTGTCATTAGTTTCCTATCCATAGCTTCCTGTTTTGTGTTGGAGAGGCTGGCCTTTTCTTTTTTGTGTTTTCTTTACTTCCTGTTTTCTTCTGCAATTTGTGTCATTTTATTCTCTCTGTCTTTGTTCTCTGATTGCACTCTCAGCTGCTTCCACAGCTCATTTATCCCATCTGCTTCTTGTTCCACTCATCATATCTCTTTGGTGTATTTCACGTTGGTTCTTAAGTGACAGCTGGCTCATCTGCTCCATACTGCTCTAGTCTGTCATCGCCGTCCCTCCACATTCCTGGCTTGTATTTAGATTAATTTAGTTTTATGACCACATTCTTATGTTTATGGATATTTGGACCTTGGACTTTGTTTTCTTTTTGTATTATTAAGCATCTTTGTGTTTCTGCTCTACCTCTGCCATCATTTTGGATGAATTTTTGTTCTCTACTCCCACTACCTCTTCACTGCGTTCAAGTGTAAAATGCTGAGCTGAGATGATGTCAGAGAATTCGGAAGTAGTTCTCCTGCTGCTTGTATCGCTGGAGTCAAATAGCCCCATATCCTGATGCTACCACTACCATGCTTGAAAGATTGCTACCCTCTTTTTAAGTGTAAAACTTTGATTCCTCCAAGGATATTTTTTTATTACTGTAGCCAAACGATAAAATGTATCACTCTTTTTTTAAAGAGCATTTTTATTCTGCAACAAGAAATTTGCTAATTTAAAAGAAGTATTAGAATAAATGAAATAAAATAAGGCATTCATTGCCATGCTGAGTGTAAGTCAACTTTTCTTTTTAATCAGAACTGTATTTTTAACCTTTAAGTTACCTGTGCAGTTTTGTCAGAGTTATAAAAGCTCTTATAATTAAGAGTGCCCGCCTCACACTCATTTTTCTGTTGTTTCAAAGTTCTCTATGGAGGGAACAAAATGTGCAGCATATACAGTCAATTATTATAAAGTCCATCTGTTCGACATTTGTTCTGTTCCGAGTCCGTACGGTGGTACGGGGTTCAGGGACGGTGGCACACAGACCAATTACCCTCCGCTATTTCATTCCTGCCCCTCTGAAAGTGGCCAAATCCCTGCTTCATTAAGAGCAGACAGTCGGATTAGCGGAATATAAGTTATTAGTCTCACCGTTGAGAAAGGTCTTAATGGGACAGACCTCGCGTTCCGGCACGCACTCCCCGTTTGCGAGCGTCCTCCCCTCTTCACACGAGAGACAGTCTCCGTTCTCCGGGCCGCTACACGTGGCGCAGTCCGGGTGACACTCTTCACACTCGTTAAGGTCTTCATTGCCGTAGAAACCATCAGGACACACCGAGACACACTGCCCCTCTGGCAAGAGCGGGTGAGAAGATTGTACTTTGTGAGACAAGAGCTGCATGTAGCCCATTCCAGAAAAAAAAAAAAAAAAATCATAATTTCGGATTTTTTGGATGCTTCCAGTCAAAAAAGACATTAATTTATGATTTTACAGAATTGAGACTTTTTACATAATTGCCATATTTTAATCATAAATTTCAATGTGTTTTGTAAGGATTTGTCAATGCAAAATAGAAAGTAATTATGGACTCGAAGAAAAAAAAATTTTGGGGATTTATTTTCAAAGAAATGTAAAAAAATAAATAAATAAATGCAAAGAAAAAACATCCTTCAAAAAACAACAACCCCCTCCCCGGAAACTAAACACAATGATTGGTAGACTTGAACAACTATGATATTAATATCTAATTTAAAAGACACTGAAATGACATTTAACAGTCTAATTCAATTTTCAACACCACAGTGCAGAGCTGTATCTGTCTGAATAGGAGTATTAATTTTTCCTGTTTTGCTAATTATTGTCAAATAGATTTTTATGTGTGATGAAAGTGTCTGCACATCTCCCAAAGCACAACATCAAGTTTACATAAGAAAATATATAAGAGAGGAAAGACTTATATATCGATAAATAAATAAAACCAGGGATCTTTTCTCCACATTGGAATTCAAGCATCTCATTTAGAACGGTGACGACCTTCTGTGCTTTAAAATGTATCATATTCTCACTAGGGCTTATGGTTCCAGCATCCTTTTTTTTTTTATAAACAGGAAATTATAAGTCACCCAGTAGTTAAAAAATAAATAAATAAATTCCATTTTCACTCTGCAGTCCTTGTGAAATTCTTCCAGCAGCTCTGAGGGCATTTGAAATGTTAATTACGTCTCCAAACTTTTTTTTTTTTTATCCGTGTTCCTGAAAAGTCCCACTCCGTCCTCATCACATAACAAAGATACCACAGAGGACGAGGCGCTCTTCCTCAATGTTAAACGCTACTTACGAAACATCTCATTTCGTTGCCTCGCCCAGGAAACGCAAAGCTTCTAAATGAAGAATTTATAGAATGCTGACTATTGGTGCCATTTGTGACATGACGGCGTCAACAAAACGTAAAGAATAAATATAATACAAACAGGAAAGAGTTCCAAGTCAGTGAAGTAAACGTGAGCCATGAGAACCTCAGCTAAAGGTCATGAAAAACTTGCAATTTTGGACACACAGCCAGAGAAACACAGAAATGACACTGGAATGATGACAGCATGTGGGATTAGCAATCAAAATGTTTTGGGATGTGAGTTACAATTATAGAAATGAATTAAAACTGAAAACATAAGGAGAAAGTTAAAACGGACAGGAAACAGGATTGACCCAATTTGGAAGTGATAAAGAAATGATCAGAGACACATCCTCATGAAAGGCAACTTTATTTATGTAGCACGTTTCAGTCAGAGACAACCCAAAGTGGTTGCTAAATAGTATCTGGGGAAATTGTAGCCAAAAATGTGTAGATGCTCAATATAGTAATTTATTACAAAATTTATTTTGTTCAGAGTTAAAATATGCATAATAATATTAGCCCATAATCCAGTGTGATTTAATGAAACGGACGATGTATCATTGGTAGGTAACCAGCAAAGTAAAATTTGTGAAATTCAAGATGCTAATTTGAAAAAGGAACTCTTTATTTCTCATAAATATACGGTCTTACTGTGGGCATGATTGTGTATTTGTAGAAAGAGTATATCTTATAAAACACTGTCTTCCTTTGACATTCATTTTGCCACCATGATGGTAACTATAACACTGCGGGCATCTCCACCGAGATGAATATCTCCAAGTAGGGAAAGAGTGCATCTGTTTTTGTTAACATTGTTACTCCCTTCCATGTAGCCTGCTGTGCTTCGTCTCAATGTTTGTAACGACACATACATCCTCTGTGCACGTTTGCATAATAAACAATCACGCTGGATTTTTGTCTGGTGCACCTGTTTTTTGTTGACTCGGGTGAAAGTTGTAGGTTAATATTTGATGAAAAAACCCGATGATGGCCACTGGTTTCAGTCTTCTTGTTGAAGCCACCAGATTATTCTTTTTATTTTTAGTTTTTTAATCTCATATTTCATAAAGATTACAATCCTATGCTCACAGCTAAGAGGTGGCGCAAGAGAAACAAACCTGCAGCTGCAAAGATTCATTCTCATACTTAGGAGTGGGAATGAGATGTTTTTTTCACATGGCAAGGCCTGGTATTATTCTACATCTTTTCTATTTTAAGCCTTACCTGATAATAACAGGTCTGTCTCACACCAGTAGCACTCGTGCTCATCGCAGCTCATGCAGTTGTCTTCGCATGGAGCGCAGGTCATCTCCTCCTCCACGCTGTACGTCTTCGCTGGGCAGTTTCTGTAGCAGCCGTCCTGAAAGCTGATATTAAAAGCAACAGTCAATACATGCAGTCATGAGAACATAGAAACCCACTCAGCCCTCGCAGCCGAAAATAAGCCTTTTTCGGTCAGGTAAAGAGGCGAAATGAAAGGCAGACTAAAGAACAGAGGTGAGATCACACGCGGCAACAGCGAGGCACACTGCCTTACTTGTAAAAGCCCTCAATGCAGGACAGACAGTGCCTGGGGTTATCTGTTGAAAGCACAGGAAAAAACTCAGCCCTCCTTATTATATAGGAACCGTATGAAATGAAACCCTGTGCACTTGGGTCTGCATAGATTGACACGGCAGCTTCGTCTTCTGTAGGTTTTTAAAAAAAAAAACAACATGACCATTGCTACTGGACTGTGACTTACACAGGACACACTTCCTGCAGCCTTCCTCGCAGGGCATGCATTCTTCGTAATCTGGATCCTCCACCTCCCCTGAGAGCACGGGCAGCAGACAAAGTGACAGGAAGGGGGGAAAAAAAAAACAATCAGAGCAGAAGGCTGAGAAAGAACTGAGGGGTGGACACTACGTGATCCAAGGTCACAGATCAGACGTCTAGAGAGCTGCCTCATAAATAATGGAGTGACCTTCTCTACCTTCTCCACACTCCAGCTTCACACACCGCCCATCAGACACGTAGAAGGAGGAGTTGCACTGCAAGCAGTGGTTTGGGCTGGAGCAGAGCCGACAGTTTTCCGAACAGGGCTGGCAGGTTCTCTTACTTGTGTGGTAAAAGGTCTCAGGACAGGCGTCCAGACACTGACCTTGATGCAGGTAACGTTCCACTCCAAATTTATCTAAAGAAAAAGTAAAAGAAAAAACCTTTCAAAATACATTAGTGAATGAAATGTTGATTTAATTAAATTCCCCAGTCATATTTGCTGTCTTAGGTGATCAATCAGAACAGCTACGTATTAATTTGGAGTGATCCCTTCCTCTAACGCACATGTGTCAGACTCAATGCCCGGGGGCCAAATATGGCCTGACACAGCTTTTTATGTGGCCCTCTAGTCTCCAAATTACATCAATAAGTCCTTCCAGTTTTTCACAAATCTACAATATTCACACACAGTCAACAAATTTCCAATTTGTTTTTGTTCTGATTTTACTGCAAATTTTCTCAAAATTGGTCAAAAACACTGAATCCGTAACTGATACGGCGAGTCATAAAGAGTCACATTTAACATCATAGATTACCGCAAATATTGTCAAGATTCCTTACGAACTTTTCTAAATGCTCACCACAAAATCTGTAGTTTTGATTGCAAAAAAAAGAGAAAACTAAAACAATCACAAAATCCCGGACGAACAGCTATTTATTGATATTTTTACAGTTTAATTGGTTTTATCAATATATTCTGGCACAACCAGAATTCAGATTTTTGATGCGGCCCAAAATGAAAATGAGTTTGACACCCCTGCTCTACGGAGACAACTGGAATCTAACTGTGCCAGCAAAGGCTAAAACAAATACTACACAGAGGCCAGGGATTTTTTTTTTTTTTTTTTTTTTTTTTTTTTCAATTTGTCAGCCATCTGTTCAGCACACATGCCGACACAGAACGGTTTTCTTGTCTCGTCTCCTACCTGTGTCACAGCTGGTGCAGTTGGCAGGCCCTGCATCCTTACATGTGGCACATGTGTGGTCACACAGGTGACACTGTCCACCTGAGCGGTACTTGCCCTTTGCACATTCGGCCACGCAGCGCCCCTCTTCCAAAGCTCTGCAGCCAGCGAAGGGCAAAAAAAAAAAAAAAAAAAAAAAAAAAAAATAAACACATATAAATTATGTCTTTGTAAATGAGCCGAGCTCATTTACATCCCAGCATGCACCATATGGAACATTTACACAGATGTAACCGAGTGCGTTAAGAAGGATTTACAGAATAAAGTAGCTGAAAAGAAAGGTAGCATGAGGTAATTATTTGAAGTTTAAGTAACCTGTTGATATCCAATAATGTTCACTGATTCTGATTATGTGAATAATATGATGACCGCTAATGCATGTTTTCATAATAATTAGCTGTAATTTCAGGTTGCAGCATTTAAAGCTGAATTATTTCATGTTTATTTTTCATCTCCTTAACAATCCAAACTAAATTCAGTTCCTGCTTATTTAATCATCTTTGTATGAAAGGAGGTTTTTAAAGATAGAGGTCATGAAGTCATCACAATCATTGTGCCAATTATGTCATCGTCACACAGCACTTACAACGAGTCCACTGCTAGCTTATTTCTATCTGTTTGACTCTGCCTTGTTATGTTTGATCTAATAAACTTCACTTTAATACGGCTCCCATTGAATCTGCTTTAATTTACATATTTACTCCTTTAATTGTCAGGAAGCAAAACAAGGGAAAGTCAGGGAGACAAGCAGCACAATTTGAGCGGCATTTTTAATTGTGGCCACTACAAGGATGATGTTACTCTTTAAAAAAAATAAAAATAAAAAATCCTGATTCTGTTTAAACACATAAACTGAAAATTGCCATCTTGCCATTGTTATGGCTGTACAGAATGCATTAGGCCAGTGGGTCCCAAACTTTTTTCTCCTAGGACCCCCAGTGGTTTCCAAACTATTTCTGCCCCCCCCCCCCCCCCAACGTTTTCAAAAAATATGTGGTTGGGTTTAAGTTTGGGTTGGGGGGGGGGGA